GATCAGCAGAGATATGGTACATAAAGCCACAAAGCACTGGCACCCGGGCAGCCCTCACCTGGTACACGGTGGGCAGGATCCAGCCCTTCTGCTTGCACAAGGTACAGATCTCAGCTACCTCCCAGGAAGAATAGTTGGAGAGGCCAAGCTCCACAAACTTGCCCTGCAGGGGAGAGGCAAGGTGAGAGCCAGCTGAGCCCTGGACTCAGGCAGGGGAGATGGGGCGAGGACCCTGTGTGGGGTCACCCCAGCTCTGCTTTGGATGCTGGTGCCTCCTGTGCTCTGGCAGTGTCAGCATGAGAGCAGGTGGACACCACACCCTCCTCACCTCCCCCTCACCTCCTGGTGCAGCTGGTGGCAGGCCCGCAGTGTCTCCTCTATGGGGGTCTCATGGTCAGGCAGGTGCAGATAGAAGAGGTCCACTCGGGGACATTTCAGCCGCTTCAGTGATGTCTCCAGCTGAGACCGTAAACTGTCAGGCTTCAGTGAATTCTCACCTACTGGGTTGGCCTTTGTGGCAATTTTCACTGAGGGGACAGAAACACAAGTTCAGGCCAGCTGTCCACACATCAGATGTCGGGGCTAAGCAATGGATAAAGTACAGTCTGGCTTCAAATCCCAGCTCTGCCCTTGCTAGCTCTTTGGCCGTGACTAAGTTACGTACTATCAGAGACTCAGTCCTCCTACTGGAAAGTTGGAGAGAAAATGATCACATTTTACAGGGCAAGCCTGGAGGACTGGTCGGAACTTGGGTAAGCAAGGTCGGCATGAGCTGGTGATGTCCACGGTGTGCTGAGGACATACGAGGCTGTGGCAGACCTGGTGCTAGCGCTGGCAGAGGGAGCAGCTCTCATCTTGCAAAGATTCAGAGTCATAATGGAGAGGCAGGGAAAGGCTCAAGGTGTGGGGGAGCCTAGGCACAGTGAGATGAGGCCTGCTGGGAGTCAGGAAGGCTCTGCTTAGAGTCTTAGTTTGAAAACAAAGAAACAACAACAAAAAGAACCTGGCATCACAGCTGGACTCTTGGGGCAAAACCTGGAGTCAAGATGTGAAAAGCCGGAAGTCACTGCAGCGAGTGAGGCACAGGACAAAGCCCAGGAGAGCCAAGCCAGTTAGTCCATGTTAGTCTGTTAGTCCATGGAGCAGAGCAGCAGGGGAAAGGGGTACACGCCACAGGACCCCGAGTGCACCCGTGCAGTCTTCCTTCAGAGGGCCCTGGGAGCCCCTGATGCTCTGAAGACGTGAACTCCAAGGTCAGCGGCTAGTTTTGAAGGAGGACTGCAAATGTGCCAGGGATGAAGGGCTGGTCTAGAACAGGAAGAGCAGTGAGGAGACTGAAGAGGGACCAGGATAGAGAGGCCTGTCGTGGGCCTCTGTGCAGATTTCTCCCAGGAAATGGGGCCAGCTCTGGGCCGTCTATGGGAGTCCAGACTGTCCTGCCCGCCCTGTTAGGAATCCTAGTTGGTTAAAAACTGTATTGTATCTCTCACTTTGGAGAGCCAAAGTACAAACAAAGAGAATAATGAAGATGGATAGAAGGAGACAAGGTGGTGGATTTGGTGCAACAGGATAAGAAACCAAGGGAACAAGCACAGGGCTGGGGAGGAGGGGAGGGGAAACAGGTACAATAGAGCCACACCATGCTCAGGAGCCTGTGACCTCACTGATGCACACTGTGTGCCATAATATGAGCCAAGAGCAATGACAGGAGCAAGAAGGAAAACTGGGACCTGGAACTAGAGGACAAGGAGGGAGGGAAAGGGAAAGGGAGGGAACGTAAAAAAAGAAACAGGCTGGACTATGTGGCTATACCAACTTCACAAGGTGATCATAAACCCTGTGCACTGCAAACAAAGGCTAATAAAAGCAAACAGTGAGAGGACGGTCTTCTTCCCACTTTGCACCCTGGGAAAGTCACTTGGGCCTGGAAGGTCACTTGGGTGGGCAGCAGGCAGTCCAGGCAGCCTCTGAGACCCGGGAGAGGGTGGACTCAAGAAAACACCCATCAGCAACTTTTCCATCCACCACTTCAGATCTGAGGTCTGTGGAGCAGGCCAGCTGGTCCTGGCCTCAGAGACACAGGGGAAGAAAGACTTAGAGACAATGAAAAGGAGAATAAGGCCAGAGGCAGCCAGGTGCTTGACAAGGGCTCAGCACTGAGTGCACTCACTTCCTCCTGTTCCAAATCTCAAGCTGTGAATCAAGGAGCAGGGTGGGTAGGGGAGGATGAGGAGCTGGGCAGAGAGAGCAGAGGCACAGGAGGCCTTTAACAGCAACGTGGGTTAGACCATGTGCCAACTTTTTGGTTGATATTATGTAAGGTAGGATAAAATGCATTCTTTTAACCAATAGAAGTTTATTTTTGTAAGCATAGTTATGTTGAATTAAAGCAAAAAAACCCAACCACAACAACAAAAAGAATAAAGTGGGAGGTCATATACGGTGGGGCATGCCTGTAAATGCAGCACTGAGCTGGCTGAGGCAGGAGGATCACTGCAAGTTCAAGGCCAGCCTGAGCTACACAGTGAAATCTTTTGTAAAAGAAAAAAAAAGAACAAAGTGAAAACAGTTGGGCCTGGTCATTGCACACACACAAACACACAACCCCAGCACTCCGGGAGGCCAAGGCAAGAGGATCACAAATTCCAGCCCAGCCTGGGCAATTTACAGACACTCTGTCCTGAAATGAAAAATAAAAATGACTAGGGATGTAGCTCAGGGTGAAGGCACGGACTGCAAAAAAAAAGTAGGGGCCAGTGTAAAAAAAATATGGCAAATACACACAGTAGCATACATACATGTATAGAAATATAGAGTAGTAAATCCCATTCGTTTGTGCAATTAAATGGGGAAAGAATAATAATAAAATAGAAGAACAAAGTCCCTGCTCAATATGGTGGAATACACCTCTAGTCCCCAGCCCCTGGGAAGGCTCACACAGGAGGAGCCCTTGAGCTATACTTTAGGACCCTGTTTCTAAAGAAAAAGTGACAGCTAAGACTTCTCAGCAGGCTAACATGCCTCCAAGCCCTTTAAATAGCAGGAGACCAGTGAGTGACCTCCACCAGCCCATACCCATCTTCCTGGAGGCTACACAGGTCCCCTCCAACCCCCAGGCTTTACCAGATCTCACTGGCTTAGCACACCCATGCCACTGTCCACAGTGCGCTCTCTCCCTCATTCCCCCAGCAAAGTCTACCCCATCTTTAGAGATCCCCCTGGGAGGTGCCCTCTTCCATGGCTGGCCGAGGAGTGCACCCCTGGAACCCCAACAATCTCTAGAACCTCAGCTTCCAGGAGAGAGGTTCACGTGAATTTCTCTGCCACAGCGTCAGACAGAGCCTGGCACAGGGACCCTCAGCTGCAACAACCCCAGTGTAGCTGGAGACACTGCCAGGTCCCAGATGCGGGGTAGCTTGCTAGGAGCAGAGACCTGGGCCCAGAGCAAGGCTGGCAGGAGCAACTGAGCACACAGGTCTCCCCCAGGGTCCAAAGTCACAACAGGGGCTGTGTCAGGGAAGGATGTCAAGGCCATAAGGAAAGGATTAAGGCAGATCAGGCCAGGTGTGGCAGGTGAGGGGCCAAGCAAGGAGGGAGAAGAAGGGAGGGGCTGCCAGACACCAGCTTCAGAAGTTCTGAGAGCCCCCAGGGGGGGGACAGCAGGATGGTTCCACCTAGACCAGCCTTGAGCATCACTGTGGGAGGACCCTGTGCATCTTCCCGGAAGAGAAAGGAGTTGGGGGGGGGGGGACTCAAAAACAAAACCAAACAAACTCTTCAGGTGTCTGCTGCCTGGGGCTCACAGAGCCCTGGGGTGGGCAGGGGAGGTCAGATTTCCAGGAGAAGGATGGAGGCTACTGTGCTGGGCAGAGGTCAGCTCTGCACTGTAAGGGTCTAAGAGGAACATGGTGGCCTTTACCTTTGGAGTCTGGGGCGCCCAGCCCGAGCCCCAGGCCGCCCAGGATGGTCTCGGAGTTGCCATCGCTGTAGATGAAGGCCGTGTCTATCTCGGTGTGGCCGCGCTCCAGGAAGACGCGAACCGACGCGGCGCTGGAGGACGCGTCCATGCGGCGCCCCATCTCCATGGCGCCCAGCACCGTGGCGGGCCGGACCCGAGACTTCAGAGAGGTCATGACGGCAGCAGAAGCAGCGGCGGGGACAGGAGACAGACGGCACAATAGTGACCCACAGGAGTTCCCTACTGCGCTGGGAATAGTGCGCGGGCTCCCTTAAAAAGGGGAGGCCCCGCCCACTAGAAGGGCGTTTGCTGAGGGGAGCCCTGTAGGGAAGCAGGAAGAGATAGTGCAGGGGTCTGGGCCAGAAGGGGACAGCAGGGCTAGAGGGCTGGAGTGTGCCAGGGAGGGAGTGCAGTGCATGCACGCGGAGCTGGTGCCAGGTGCCTGGCGGCCACCTGGCGGTCAACGCGTAATCTGGGCCTTGGTTCCAGGTCCAGATGGGTGAGCTCTGTCCGAGGGCTGTGAAGGAACCAGAAGCCTTAGGGCTGGCACTCCTTGGGGCTCCCTGACCTCCTTCTCAGCCTTGCCCCTGAGCTGTCCTGAGTCAGGACAGTCTGTCTCCTGCTGGAGAAATCAGCACATGGGTGACCCTCTGGCTGCCTGGCCACCATGCACTCTCAGAGCTGAGGCTTGCAAAGAAAGCTTTCAGCACAGGCAATACTTGAAAATAGTATTTAGGCAGAAGGAAACTTGGACTTACCCACGTGAAAAATGAAGTCTGCTGGATACAGACAGTGTGTGCATGTAGTGCATAAACATTTTTTCTCATTTTTTTTAACTCTTAAAACTGTTAGGGTTGCAAGTGAATTACAGTGCTGGCAGAGGGCTTGCCTGGCATGGGTGAGGCCCGGTTCCATGCCAGCAATACCTACCCTTGACAAAAACCTGATAACTTTGTCCTTAAAAGTTAATCACACACCTATCATCATGACTCAGCAATCTCAGTCCTAGGTATTTACTCAAGGGAAGGGAGACCTATGTGCACTAAAACCTGTACCTGTTGTTTTTTTTTTTTTTTTTCATTTTGGGCTCTTTTTGAGGCCGGGTTTAGTTAGGTATTCCACGGTGGTTTTGAGTTCACTATGCAGCCAAAACCTGCCTCAAACTCACAGAGATCCTTCTGCTTCAGCTCTGCAGTGCTGGGACACAAGTTTTGATAGTTGTTTCCTTTCCCTCTAAGTGACTGAACATGGAAAAAGCCAACTGTCCCTTCAGTGCAGAACGCACGAATAAGTGAGCTAGTGATCAGCACAACAACACAGATGAATGGAAGAGGCCACCCAGTGCATGGGGTCATTTCCTTGACATTCCTGCAGAGAGCACCAGAGAAACAGGAGACCAGCTGCTCCAGGGGCTGCTGCTAGGCTGAGGGTAGGATCCTGGAGGGGTGTACAGTGGAGGTGTTCTACATGGTGGTCCTGAGGTGATTACTTAGCTGCTTCTAAATATCCAAACCCCGAGAACTGTGCAGGTCTGTCTACAGGGTGCAGTCATGAATGGGCTCCAAGGGCAGGCACTGGAACAGGAAGTTCAAAGCTCAGGAGTGAGCAAAGGCCAAGGGCTCCACTTAGCTGTGTCATTAATGCACAGACCTGTGATTCCTTCCAGAGGCCCTGAAAGGAGAGCTGGCTTCCTGCTTGCTGCTGGGACCACTTTCAGTGCTTCTTATTTGATGCTCCTTTGACATGTCCCTATTTGCCTGAAAGCTTGGCCCAGATCATAGACCGTGGTACCTCGGCTCATGAATGGAATTCTTTCAGGATTTAGGCAAAAGATGACACGCCAAATGGAAAGAATTCAGTTCGTCAACCAAGGTATGAAACAAGGTAATAGAATTTCAAGACACAGGATGAATGTCCTGCTCTGAGGTTTTCTAATGTTGGGCTTTTAGGACTGGAGGCTTTAAGCCAGTAGTTTTCTATACATGAATTATAAAATATTTTTAAGAGGTGTCACCGTAGTAGCACATAAAGATTACCTGAAGAACAGGGCCTGGAGGTGTGTGTCGGCCCTTCCAGCTATTCCCTGGGCTGGGGCAGGAAGACTGCTTGGGCTCACAGGTTGAGAACAGTCTGGCTATATAGTCAGAAATCTTTCTAAGAAATAAATTACTTGAGGGATAGAGTTTGCCTTTTCTCCACGGATTTATTCATTTGTTTCTTAGTTTCGCGATGCTGGGGTGGATGCCTGAGCTCCACATGCTAGGCAAGTCTGAGTCGTCTCAGGCCTATGGCTTGAATTTCGGCCTCATGCAGAGCTATCCAGTTTTGTTTTTCTGTCCCAAGTCACATAGCATGAGGACTTTCCTCACAGGGAAGCCGTTATAAGAATGTGCTACTTAGCTCTCCTTAGCAAATGTGTGAGCATCTATCTGTGGATACTTTGTCTAGCGAAATCATTTAGGAAAATGTTTTTGTGGTACAGGGTTGTTAACCCTTCATGGCTCTATCCCTGACCTACCTCCCCAGTCCCCTGCCTCCCTTCAATTTGGAGACAGCATCTTGCTGAGTTGCCCTGGTGGGACTCAAATTTGCAATCCTCCTGCCTCGGCCACCCTCACTGCTAGGATTTCAAGTGTACACCTCTGTGCCTGGGTACCTAGGGGAATTCTAAAACCATGTAAAAGGAAGATGATGCATGTTGTCTACCTTGCCGCATGAAAACACTTGGAATTTCATCTTTTCAGGCTCAATACTGAAAGGCAGACACTGACAAAAGAGCAAGTAGGAGTGGGGACAACTCCACCTCCAGCTCAGGGCAGATGCAGCAAGTGCAGGTGTCACCTTGTACTTTGGCTTCTGTAGCCCACAGTGCTTTTCTGGCCACTGCTAACTCTGTCACCTCTACACAGGGATGTTACAGAGAAATAGCATCGTGCTAGTCCTTCAGGGAAGAGGGTTTGTGTTTTGGCTTTTCCTCTACACTGTGTGGTTTTACTCTAATTCCTTGATTCCTGCAGCCTTTGGGGTACAGATGAGTTCTCCTGAATGCTCTTTAGTAAGTGTATGGACACAAGTCCAAGGGGACCATGAGTGTATCTCACCAGCGTGTGAAAGCATTCACACTGGGGCTGGGGATTTAGCTCAGTGGCATAAGCGCCTGCCTTGCAAACAGGCAGTTGTGAGTTCGATCCCTGGTACCAATAAAAACGAAAAAGATCAAACAAACAAACAAACAAAAAACAAAAACAAAAAGCATTTGCACTTTACTGAGAAAAAATTCTAAAGGCCCATTTCAGTAATGCAGCCCAATAAGGAGTAGCTGTTACTCTGCAGACAGGATCCTCAACCGTTCTCACAGTGACGTCAGTCTCAGGGCAGGAGCACTCTTCATCCACAAGCCAGAGCAACGGGACCTTAACATGAAGACAAGCTCGGCACAGGCTTAACCCCAGCTACCCCGTAGCTGAGGCAGAGAGATCAAAAATTGAAGGCCAGCACTGGCCGCTGAGACCCTAACTCAGTAGGAATGCAAAGGGTTAGGGTTAGGGTTAGGGTTAGGCCGGAGATGCAGCTCCGTGTCCTGCTTTCATTCTCCAGCACTGCGAAACAAACAAACAAGCAGAGACCTTCTGGAGAGAACACTCTTTTCTCCACTGTGGCTGTCATAAGCCAAAACTACTTTCTCAGGTTCTCTGACGCTATTTCCTTCCCTGAGCGAGGGTGTCTATTGGCACAGAAGCGCACTTATTTTAATGAGATTCACCAGTCAAAGACATAATCAGAGACTCCAACTTGGGAGGCGAAGATGCCCAGTAAATCACTAATGAAGCGCTGATCCAAGTGAGCAATCTAGTGTTTAAATCCTGTGTTACAAAAGCGAAGACTGAGCACTGTCACTTGTGAAGAAAGTTGAAAACAGACATGTAACCTATTAACAGGAATTCTTAGTATTTACCATCTGTCCCCAATGATGTATCCAGCCATATGAGAGGCAATGTCTGCACTGCATGGGCTTCATGGATTTCATTAGTTTTTTCTTCTTTCTTTCTATCTTTATTTCTTCCTATTTCTTTTTAGGTGGTGCTGGCCATGGAACCTAAGCCCTGGCATAGACTGCTCTTCCACTGAGTTATAAGCCCAATGTAAATCTTGACATAAATGTTTGTAAAGATAAAGATTCAATTTGTAGAATGCAGAAGGCTCATTTTCTTTTCTTTTTTTTTTTTTTTGTCTTTTTCCTTTTTATCGGTACCGGGGATCGAACTCACGACTGCCTGCTTGCAAGGCAAGCACTTGTGCTCCTGAGCTAAGTCCCCAGCCCTCATTTTCTTTTTTGTCTTTTTCGTTTTTACTGGTACCAGGAGAAGGCTCATTTTCATAGCACCTAACTTTTTATTCTTACATAGTATGATCAAAATATATGATGAATATGCAAATTTACAAAATTATTACAGTAAAACACACTGCCACTATTCCCATCACTTCTAACACCCTTTCAAATCATCTAGCCAGTGTCTGCAGGAGTTCTTGAAATCCTCTTTCACATTTGCCTGTGCAAGGTGTGATAAAAGGCACAGTGAACGCTGCTGCTTCATAGAACTGTGTTAAAACATCGCACTGTGTCCTCTTCAGCCTTATTTACTGCGTGACTGGCACTGTGTGACTTCTTTCTCTTCCCAAAGTTAGAATAACCATGAAAAGGAAACATTTTGAATAGACTCAGGACATCAAAACAGCCATAACAATTCAACTACAGACTCTCCCAAAATATGACTCCCAAAAGTCGGGCGAGATGGCTCAAGCCTGTAATCCCAGCACTCAGGAGGCTGAGGCAGGAGGATCGTTGCCAGTTCCACACCAGCCTGGGCTACAAAGTGAGCTCAAGGCCAGCATGAACTGAATAGGGACACCCTGTGTCAGAAGACGGAAAAAAAAAAAAAAGAAGACTCCCAGGACTGCTTGGGGAAGTGGAAAGAAGCCAGGTGTGGCGGTGCACAGCTGGAATCCCCGCATCCAGGAGGCTGAAGCACAAGGATCACCCCGATAAGTTCCAGGTCAGCCTAGGCTACATAAATAAGTTCAAGACCAGCCTGCACCACATAGTAAGAGCGTATCTCAAACAAAAAACAAAAAAGTGGAAAGAATGGTGAGATACTGCATTTGAAGGCAGGCAAGAATATTGTGAGGGTGATTAACAGCAATGTTATCTTGTACTGTAACTAATGTTTTTCATTTAATCATTCACTATGTGTTGCAATCACACTTCTCAGATGAGCCCTTTAGCTAAAGTGAATTTGTTCACTTTAACCCTAAGTTTTCTTATTTGCATCAGCTGAGAAAATCAGTGATGTCATCATACTGGTATCAATAACAGAAATACTTAAATATATACAATATTATACGAGTTTTATATTAATATCAGGAACTTCAAGTGGAAAATCAGTGAATTCCAGTAACAATCAAATGTTTCCTCTAGCCAATTCATGGAACCCAAGCAGAAGTTTAGGCGAGGAAGAATGACACAGGCCTATAATCCCTGTACTCTGGGAGGCCGAGTCAGGAAGATCAACAAGCAGAAACACACTCTGGACAACTTAGCATACTAATGAGATCCTGTCTCAAAAAGAAAGAAGTTTTAAAAAGGCTGAGGATGTAGGTCCATGCAAAGACCCTGGATACTATCCCCAGTACTGAAAGACAAAATCAAAGTAGAGATATTGGAAGTTCCTTTCGAACTTAGGACCTGTGCTTGCCAGATATGTGGTTGTGCTGCTGAGTTGTATCCCTGGCCCCCGCCTGTTTTTAGACAGGATCTCTCTCTCTGTGTAGTTCAGGTTAGTCTTGAACTCACTATGCAGCCTAGGCTTGCTTGGAACTTGCAACAATCCTCCTGCTTCAACCTCTTGAAAGCTGTGATTATAGGCATGCATCGCCAGACCCAACTCCCTGGATTGCAATTCCCATTGATGTGACTTGAAACTCTTCTCTAAAATCTGTGGTCACTACATGTCCACTTCCATTGTATCGATTTCTGTGTATCCTTTGGCCAATAGTGCACTGTCCTCAATATTGTACATTGATGCTACCTTTGGAAATCAGGAAATATGAGTCATCTATATCTTTGTACTGTTGCAAGGCTGCATCCTTGCGCTGTTCTGGGCAGTTTAAATTTCCGTAGGAAGCCTGAACTACAGTGAGACCCTGTCTCAAAAGGACCAAACAAACAAAATTTCTGTATGACTTCTAGGATCAGTTGGTCAAATTCTGTTTAGAAAGGTCGTCATCAGGTCAAAAGCTGATAATTCCAGTTATTTGGGAGATTAAAGCAGAAGGAATTCAAGTTCGGGCCCAGCCTGGGCAACTTAGGGAGATTCTGTCTGAAAACAAAAAGAGCCAGGATTACACATTGAGCAACTCATTTTGGGGTGGCTGGTGGAGCCCTGACAGACACAACATCTAACTGGATGGCGCATCTGCTGTGCTGTACATGAAGACAAAGGAAGGTAAAACTCACATAAAGCCAGGGCTGGGTGTCAGCACTCAAAAATAAAAAAGAAACTCTAGCTCTCGGAAGGCCCAGGAAATGGGGATCCTGGCTGCCCGCACCTCCAGCCCCATCAGAACGAGGCCTGGGTCAAAGATGAGAAACTTGCACATCATAGGCAAGCACTTTAGCTAAGAAAAGAGCAAAGCCACTGAGATTGAGAAACACTCAGAAAATGTCCCGCAATCTGGGTGTGGTGGTGCACCACTGTAGGCCCAGATACCTGGGGGGCTCGTCCGGGAGGATCACTGGGGGGCAAAGGGTTTGAGGCCAGCCTGGGTAAAACAGCAAGACCTTGTCTCCAAAATGAGGAAAAGAACGAAAGAGAGAGAGAGAGAGAGAGAGAGAGAGAAGGAAGGAAGGAAAGAAAGAAAGCAAAAAAGACAAGGAAAGCACGAGAAAAGAGCAGGTGTGGCGGTGCATGCCTGTAAGGTCAGTACCTGAGAGGCTGAGGCAGGAGAACTGCCACTGATTTGAGTCCACACTGGGCTTCATAGCAAGACTATGTCGCACACAAAATAATAAGAAGGTCCACAGAATTCTGAGAAATGTCATTTTTCATCTTAGTGGTGTCTTTAATTGTAATTTTTGCCCAAATTGCCCCATTCTGGAGTATTTGTTGCTGCACTCCTGAATGACAGAAAAGCTACTGCACGGTGCCTGGCCCACTGTTCTCCTCACCTGTAGGAGACAGAGAGGTCAGTCTGGGCTCAGGAGAAGAATCCAGGAGACCTTTGCAATACCCTCTGCCCTCTGGAGACTCCAGCTCACGGCTCCACCCTTTCGCAGAGACTCCCCAGGCAGGGTGACAATAGCAGGGACAGCAGCCAGACAAAAGAGCTGGTGTGTCACCAGGCCAGAATGGCGGCTGGGCCCAGGACTGCTTTATTGAGACAGAACTGCTCCTGTAGGACTCAGGCCCGGCCTCTCCATGCTGCCAGCACAGCCAGGGGCAGTGCAGGGTTCTAGTACACTGCCTGATTAAGGCAATCAGAAAAGGCCATGCTAAGGCAGCTTCACGCAAAATGGCCAGGGCCAGAGCATCAGAGGGTGACAGAGACGCCCCCAGCACCTTCAGTCACATGGGGCCTAGCGGAAGTAGTTGGGACAGTCGTGGGCAACCAGGTGCCAGCCTTGATCAAAGGCCTCCACCACAGCCGGCTCCAGGGGCCCTTCCTCCACAGCGGCCAGGTTCTGCTGCAGCTGCTCCACGCTGGACATGCCCAGGATGACTGCGTCCCCGTGGGTGCCCTGCAAGGGGAGAAGCCACACTGGAGCACGCTGCTGACACAGAGGACTCAGTCACATGGCCCTCCTTCCACACCCAGGCTGAGACTGGGGATCCGTGTCATTTCCTGAAGCCTGGCTCTAATATCACCGAGAAGCTCTGGTGCCCCCAAATGCTCCTAGCATTTGCCTCTCACAGCTGTGTCCCCCGCTCTCATCCAGAGGCCTCAGCAGCTGGGAAGCTGGGATGGTCACAGACTTTTCAGCTGCTTCTGCCTTGGCCTGCAGGGTGGTGGCAATCACAGCTGTGAAGTCGTTGCTCCTGCCTGCCCCTCATGTAAGCTCACTATGGAAGCCCTAGAAGGTTTGTGCCAGAGCAAGGGACAAGGGAAAGAGAGGGCAGGACAGAGGGGAAAGCCCCAGCTCCACACACAGGGCCGGGCGCTGTACGGGTTACAAGCAATGCCATCTCAGAGCCAAACCCACATCATTTCCCACCACAGGCAGCCATGGGACCTTAGACAAGTGAAGGGGACCTCCCTAAACAGGGGCGGTGTAAGACAGGGAACTTGCAACCTGCCTCTTCAGGAACTTCTCTAAGAAAACAACTGCCACCAAAACAGCTGGGCCACAGAGACATTGCGGAGGAAGAAGAGAAGTAACATCAGAAACAACCGAATAACTCTGTGGCCCTCTCTCCTGGTTTTACTAGTCCACCAATTCACACCACAAATATAAAGTCAGTGGGGACCCCAGGGCCGGCCAGCTTACCTGCAGCTGGGAGTGGTGGTACATCCAACGCAGGGTGGCCGAGGTCATGCTGGGGGCGCTGGCGCCATAGGCGGCCTGCAGGGCCTTCTGCACCAGGGCGATGGCCTTAAACTGGTGCTCCTTCCAGTAGCTGAGCAGGGGAGGAGGGCGGCATGGGGGTCAGAGCTGGAGGTGACTCAGGGCAGCCCAGTCAGGACCCAGCACAAGGGGCCAGGTCCTCAAGTGGAAGGGCTCCACTCATTCTGTCAGGACACACACGGATTTCAGGGCTCCTCATCAGGGTGCTTTTTCACCCTTGGTTTTGGCAGGCGTGTGGGCATGAATTCTGATGTTTATATGGTCGCCATTCGAAGAGAAAGGATTCCCCAAATCAGGACCCTCAAGCACCAACAGCACCCCCGCTGTGTGACCACATTCACAGAAATGACCGTGACAAGTCCTGGGCTCCAGTCCAGCTCCTGTGGCCATCGCTGAGGAAAGCCCCTCTGCTGCCCTCACCTACCTATGGAGTGAAGGAAGGAAATCTCCCCTGGCAGTCACATAGAGGCCACAGGACATGAGGTTTCAGAGACTATGAAGGACCCTGATTCCCAGGGCTGAGGCCGGGGGCCCTGCACTGGGCAAAAAGCAACTGGTGACCCATGGTCCGGGCAGGAGGATAGGAAACCCCGGGGCAGGGAGAGCAACTCAGGGTCTAAAGCACAGGTTTGTGCACAAGGCCTCAGCAAACACTCGGTGCTCTGCTGCCTCCACGCTGGCTGTTTCTAGAAAACTGGCATTGGAGCCTCCAGTCTGAAGCGTGGCCTGCTTTCCTCTCCCAGGGGAGAAACTGAAAGCAAACACGTCACAGTGTGTCCAGAACTTCACCCTGACTTCTGTCAATACGGAAATACTAGTTATTCAACAGTAAATGGGGAAGCAAGAAATAGCTGCAAGAGTTTTTAAAAGTTCCCTCTAAAAATACAACTTGGAAAAGACTTGTCACAAGCCATGGGTATGTTATTATATTGCATAGATATTTGAAAATCTAACAATTATTTTTGTTTTTGTCTTCCTGGAGCTGAGGTTAAACCCAGGGCCTCTGGCAAGGGCCTACAAACACACCACCCCGGCTAAAAATTTTGCAGGATTTAAAAGGTAAAAGAAAAAGCCAGGGGCTCTGGCTTAGGCCTATAATCCCAGTACTTTGCAAGGCAGGGGCAGAAGGACTGAGGCAGGAGTTCAAGGTCACTGTGGCTTTGTAAACTGACCCTGTTTCCTGTCTCAAACAAAACCAAATAAAAAGAAGGGTAAAAGAAATAACAACACTGACTCCAACAGCTGTTCAATGATGAAATAAGACACTGATGTTAACCTTTCCATCAATATTAGAGTCCACAAGGTCAGCAGAGAATCCCAGTTTCTCCCTAGTCCAAGTAAGCTTGGCTAATCACTGTGGGGAGGGAGGGAAAAGATGCAATGATGAGGACCCAATAAAAGATCAGGGATTTGGGACTGAAGATTTAGCTCAGCGGCATAAGTGCCTGCCTTGCAAGCACATGGTCATGAGTTTGATCCCTGGTACCAGTAAAAAAAAAAAAAAAAGATCAGGGATTCACCTCCCAGGCTCCAGAAACATCCAGAAGGGGACAGCAAGGAGGAAAGGGACTCTGCAAAGTTCATGGGAATCCAGGGACACAAGTGGAGCATGAGGGGAAAGGCGGCCCCCAGGAAAACAGCCTCAAGGAATTCCACCCTCAAGCCTAGCTGACCCACACCCCTTCCCTCCCATTCAATCTCCCAAGCTCACCGATTCTTAGAGATCTCAGATCCTTTAGTCCCAAAGAAGCGGCCCACAGGCTGTTTCTCATCCTTATCCTCGAACTTGTACCTGCCAGTCAGCAGGCCACCTGCAAGAAGATTGTGGTCACATCCTGCCCCAGACCATCCCAAAGGCGAAGAGCTCTGGAGAGGAGGAAGGGGAGCAAGCTGGGAGGGCTGTGGGATGCAGCCCAGACTCTTGCCACAGCTCTCCCTGCACCTAGGCCTGGAATGAGCATCCATGGAGGCAGGAATAGGCACACACGGGACCAAGAATGCTGACCCAAACCAGAGGGACCTCTCCCTGGGGTGCACATACCAGCCAAAGGGTTGAAGGCATAGAACCTCAATCCAAAGTGCCTCAGGCACGGGAAGAGCTCTTTTTCCACCAGCCTGGTGGTGGCATTGTACATGCCCTGCAGGGAGAAGGGTCAATTAGAAAGAGGGGATGCCTTAAGGAAGGTACCACAAAAATATTCCTTCAAAGCCTCAGCCTAGACCTACAGCACAGCAGTGTGACAATTAGGGTTTTGTTATGGCTGAGGTGTAGCTGTCCCCCTAAAGCTCATGCAGTCATCCACGAGGGTTTTCAGAGCTGGCTGGATCTAGAGAGTGTGATGCTGGAATAAAGGAGATGTGATTACTAAACTGTCGATGTCCGCTCCCGGCCGGCAGGAAGGACACACGACAAAGTCTGGTAGTGGACAACCTTTTCTTTTTATTTTCCTTCTCCGTACAGCCTGCCCTGGGTTCTCCCAGCTGAAGCCTCCTCTGGTCCGCTCCCCGCGGCTCCTTTTGTGCTTCAGTCTGCCCCAAAGCCTCTACCGGTCCGCTCTCCGCGGCTCCTTTTGGGCTTCTACTTCCGGGCTTCTATCTGGCTTCTTCTTCCGCCCAGGGGTGGCACCGGTATATATACGGGTACAGTGTCCAATCATGTTAAAGTAAGCAAGGCAAGCTGATTGGCTAACATCATCAGTTGCCAGGCAGACTATATTGTTGAGCGGGTTGTTTACGCGGTAAGCAGGAAACTAACATATTCGATGGGAGGGGTAATCTACCCCAGGCTTTGCTCTTTACCACAGGCCGCACGTCCGCCGCGCAAGGCGAGCTATCACAGACGCGGCTCCCAACACTAAACAAAGTCCGCTGACCGGTTTCCCCACAGTTCTGGGTGTGGAGAATGGGAAGCCCCCCGCCCCGGGTGTGGGTGCTACCTCCCTAAGGCCGGCATCCTGGTGGGATACAAGAGCCAGAAAGGGCCGCAGTCCTCATTTACGGCCTGCTTACTTTGCTGCTTGGTTGCCTTCGGCCTTCTCTACACCAGGAGCTGTTTACCCTCTGTGATGCCCTCTGCCTTGGAGCCAGCCAACTATCAACTGAAATCTCTTCCAACTGGCAGCTTCGGTAAACCTTTCTTTAATGCTGGGTGTCAGGTATTTTGTCTCAGCAAACAGAAAAGAGTAACTAAGACACAAGGGATTTCTTGTTTGTGGAGAAAGGCGCTTATTCTCAGGAAAAAAGTCATCCATTCAATCAACATTCACATTCACCAACTATGGCTGGAAGCTGAATTCAGAGCCACAGCTAAAGCAGAAGGTTCCTGCTGTGCAAGGTTACAGCAAGAAGAATGGAAACAAGTGTAACTGCACAAACAGGCAACCTTAGTGCACTAGTAAGTCTGTGACCAGGGCCTGGCACCAAGCAGGTGTGTACAAATATTTGTTGACTGACGGATGAGGAAGGCCTAGAGTATGGCTGAGATCTCACACACCCGAGGGCACTGGGGAGGGGCTTCCCAAGGACCAGCCACCTAAGGGAGACCTCAGCCCTTCCCCCAGGGACCCCGCTGCAGCTTTTCAGGCTGAAGTGCAGAGTGGTGTGGAAGGAAGTCCGAGCTCATGCTCAGGCAGGAAGCCAGCAGGAGCCTGGAGCACAGACAGGGGAGCAGGGCCTCATGCTGAGGCTACCTGCGCATTACCCATAGGCTTTGAGGCGGGAGAGGCTGCTGGGTACGGACACAGGGCATTCCGAGGGGCAAAGGAGAGTAGGGATCAGCAGAGATATGGTACATAAAGCCACAAAGCACTGGCACCCGGGCAGCCCTCACCTGGTACACGGTGGGCAGGATCCAGCCCTTCTGCTTGCACAAGGTACAGATCTCAGCTACCTCCCAGGAAGAATAGTTGGAGAGGCCAAGCTCCACAAACTTGCCCTGCAGGGGAGAGGCACGGTGAGAGCCAGCTGAGCCCTGGACTCAGGCAGGGGAGATGGGGCGAGGACCCTGAGTGGGGTCACCCCAGCTCTGCTCTGGATGCTGGTGCTCTGCCCTGGCAGTGTCAGCGTGAGAGCAGGTGGACACCACACCCCCCTCACCTCCCCCTCACCTCCTGGTGCAGCTGGTGGCAGGCCCGCAGTGTCTCCTCTATGGGGGTCTCATGGTCAGGCAGGTGCAGATAGAAGAGGTCCACTCGGGGACATTTCAGCCGCTTCAGTGATGTCTCCAGCTGAGACCGTAAACTGTCAGGCTTCAGTGAGTTCTCCCCTATTGGGTTGGCCTTGGTGGCAATTTTCACTTGGAGGGGACAGAAACACAAGTTCAGGCCAGCTGTCCACACATCAGATGTTGGGTCTAAGCAATGGATAAAGTACATTCTGGCTCAAATCCCAGCTCTGCCCTTGCTAGCTCTTTGGCCGTGACTAAGTTACTTAATAATCAGAGACTCAGTCCTCCTACTGGAAAGTTGGAGAGAAAATGATCACATCTTTTTTTTTTTTTTTTTTTTTTAAGGGAAGAAAGAAAAAAAGACAGAAAAAGGGTAAAAGTTATACAGAATTTCAAAAAAAATAAACAGTAGGAAATCATTAGTTAATAGATTACATATTGTCATCTTAGAAATAGTTGTTCAAGTTACAAAATTAAAGCTTATAAAGTGGACATTCAAACAGTGAGACTGCAAACAGTTCTGTTCAGTGATCCAACAAAACTCAGTAATATGGTTACCTATCTTATACACTTAAATACACATGCAGTTATATCCTTTAGAGCACTCTCTTTTCCTCTCTTTTGTACAATGACAATTACACATTTTGGGTTTTTTTACTCCCACAGTTCTTATTATTTTTTTGAAGAGAGTAAAACCAAATGTGACATAACAAAACAGAGTCAGTCAAATCAAAAGGATGGACATAATATATACTGTAAAAACAAAATACCAGGTGATCAACAATGATTACCATAATGCCTCTTACTATCTTAAAAAGAATTGCCTATATCATCAGTTATAATAAAATTGAACAAAACAGTAAAGAACAAAACCAATAAAACCAAAACATTGGAGACATTACAGGACTTCAAAAGAAGATAATAGTCAAACCAGAATGGGCATCATAGTGAATCTTATTGTCTTCATAGTTGTTGCCTATACTATCGAACTTGGTAGTATCAAGTAAGACAGAATAGAGGAAAATCAGTCAAAACAAGATGGTGAAAGCAATACAGGGTTTCAAATCAAGTTAACAGGAAATCAAAGTGGGTTACTATAATATCCTGCTGTTTTTTAATTTTTCCTTTAATTAAAAAGATTAAAATGAAAAAGTAAATAATAAAAAAAGGAGATTGAGATAAAAGAGGGCATAACAACAAAACAGCACAGGTCAAAACATAACCATTTAAGCAAAATAGTGTTTCACCACAAGATATCGTGACATAAAAGTAGTTACCATAGTGTCTCTTTCCTTGAAATCTTTGAGTATAACTTCGTATACTGTAGCATCAAACATATCAGAACAATATAAAACCATTCAAGAGAATGACAGTATTACAGGGTATTTAGAACCAACTAACAGAAAATAACAATGGTTTCTGTATAATCTCCTTGTCTATAAAGTTTTTGTTTATGTTATCACATATAATAAAATGCAATAAGATACAACATGTTAAGACTGATGGAGACAGAAGAACAAAAGCTTGATGGGACTTCAAACCAAGATGATATTAAATCAGCACTAGCTATTATGATGTCTTGTTTTCTCCAAAACAGCTGTTCCTACCATCCAACCTTCTCTGCCTCATTTCTGTTGAGCTCTTTTTCTGTCATTAGTTGTCAGTTTGTCTTCTTCAATTTGCTTTCTGCTCCATTCATTATGACTTCTCTGCCACTATTTCTGGAATCTTGGTATTTTTCTTGTTTTAGAATGTCCTGCAGTACTCTCTGTAGAGTTGAATTGGTGGTTGCAAATTACCCTAGTTCCTCTTTATCCTGGAAGCACTTTATTTTTCCATCAATATGTAGGGATAGTTGTGCAGGATATATCAATCTTGGCTGGAGGTTATTCTCTTTCTTTCTTTCTTTTTTGTCTTTTTCCTTTTTATCGGTACCAGGAATCGAACTCACAACTGCCTGCTTGCAAGGCAGGAGCTTATGCTGCTGAGCTAAATCCCCAGCCCCTGAGGTTAGTATCTTTCAAAGCTTGACTTATTTCCCCCCACGCTCTTCATGATTTGATGGTTGTGCCGAGAAGTTTGCTGTAATTCTGATGGGTGTTCCCTTTTAAGTGATCTGTTTCTTGCCTCTGGCGGCTTTTAATATTCTGTTCTTATATTGAATTTCTGGAATTGTGATTATTATATGCTTGGGTGTAGCTCTGTTTGGGTTGTAGGTGGCTGGGGTCCTGTATGCCTCATACATCTGAGTATCTTTAACTTTTGCTAAAATTTAGATTATTTCTGTGAATAGCCTTTGTAGTTCATTTGTTTGTGTCCCTACTTCTTTTACATTCTTAATTCTTAAGTTATAGATCCTCTTATCATCTTCAAGCCTTTGTATTATTGCTGTTTGTTTTCTTGTTATTTTTAAGAAGTTTTTCATTTCATGCTCCCACATTACAAATCTGTCCTCCAGTTCAGAAAATCTATGCTTAGTTTCTTTCAAGCTGTTATGCCAGCTTTCAATAGAGTTTTTAGTTTCCTGGTAATCTCTTTGAACGTGCTTCACGTATTCTATGTTTTCTCTATTTTCTCCATCAAACAATTCTCCCCTTTTTTTCTGTTCTTCCATTCCACCATCTGTTTTTTCTTGGGTGGTGCTTAGCATTTCTCTAACTATTCTACTTATATCTTGCTTTAGGTCGTTAAATATTTAACTTTTGAACTTGTCTATGAGGCTCTGGAGATATCGCTTTATGTCTATTGGTGCCATGTCTGATGTTGCATGTTTTCTGTTCTCATTCTCCTTTGCATTTACCTGTCGGGGTCGCTCCCGGCCGGCAGGAAAGACACACGACAAAGTCTGGCGGTGTGCAACCTTGCCTTTATTTGTCTCCGCGTGGGCCCCGCGAGGCCTCCTCTCTGCCACCAGCCCTTTCTCGCCGGTGGACTTTCTCTATCTCTCTCTGTGCTTCCTCTCTGTGCTTCTCCCTCGTGGCAGGAGAGGCATTTACTTTTATAGGGTAACAGTGGCCAATCAGTTCAAAGCGCGATGCGGGCTGATTGGCTAACATCAGTTGTTGCTAGGCAGACTATCTTACAGAGCGGGTTGTTAAAGTCGCCAGCGCAATCAGGGGGCAGGAAGCAGGCGCCAACTTGACTCACTCGATGGGAGGGGCAATCTAGCTCAGGCTCCGCTCCCACCCACAGGCCCTATGTCCGCCAAGTAAGGCGACCGGTGTCGGCGGCTCCCAACATTTACCCTTCCTGGGTCAGTGTTCTCAGGATTGGGGACTGAGGATCCTTTCTTGTTGCTCCCTCTTCCCATACTTTTTGTTCCTTCCATGCAAGCGTATATAGGAGGCCCAGTTTCTTTCTTTGTTGGTTACAGTTTGTTTTAATTGCGCCGGCTAGGTGTTCCGGCCCACTGCAGTGTACTAGAGAGACACAGACCTGGGCAGCCTCTGCTGGGCCTGCCCCTCCAGGTCAGTCAACCTACTGAAGGTTTCACTGCTAGGGTATTCTGCCAGGCTCAGGGACCTGGTTTGGGCTAGCCTACCTGGTCTTAGTCCATGGCCTCACCCAGGTCAGGCTCTCCCCACCAACCCACTTGACAGGGGAATATGCAACTAAAGTCACTGCAGCATCCTGTTCTGGCTAGTCTGCCCAGTCCCCGAATATCCTCTGTTGGGAGCCTCCTAGTCTATGGAAGGGTCCCCGGTCCTCTCACTCACCGCAGGTCAATGCAGAGCTCCCCACCAGTCCTGCTTTCAATTCCGTTCACCTATTCCCGCTCTCAGAGCTTTCGTGTCTCTGTCTCTGCTGTGCTGATTCAGATGCAGCAATGGCGGCAGGAAATTCAAATTGTGCAGGTTCCAGCTTCGGCGCTGAGATTTTATCTGTTCCTGTTATAGCACCGGGATTGCATTTCCAGTTGGTGTCTCTCAGCTTAGTTTGTTCCTGGATTGGCAAGGTATATCTCCCCTTGCTTAGGACTCCACATCGTACTATTCCTGAATTCTAAGCTGGCTTTCTCAGAGAGCCTCCATAGCTGCTGTTATCTACCAGCCATGTTCTCTCGGAAGTCAAAAATGATCACATCTTACAGGGCAAGTTTGGAGGATTGGTTGGAACATGGGTAAGCAAGGTTGGCGTGAGCTGGTGATGTCCACGGTGTGCTGAGGACATACGAGGCTGTGGCAGACCTGGTGCTAGCGCTGGCAGAGGGAGCAGCTCTCATCTTGCAAAGATTCAGAATCTGAGGAGGGGCTCCTTGGTAATAGGGAGGCAGGGAAATGCTCAAGGTGTGGGGGAGCCTAGGCAGAGTGAGATGAGGCTGTTGGGAACTCAGGAAGGCTCTGCTTAGAGTCTCAGTTTCTTTCTTTCTTTTTTGGGGGGAAGTAGCATGGGGACTCGAACTCATGACCTTGCACATGCCAGGCAGGTGCTTATGCTGCGGAGCTTAATCCCAGGCCCCTTATAGTCTGTTTCAAAACAAAGAAACAACAACAAAAAGCACCTAGCATCACAGCTGGACTCTTGGAACAAAACCTGGAGTCAAGATGTGAAAGCCAGAAGTCATTGCAGCGAGTGAGGCACAGGACAAAGCCCAGGAGAGCCAAGTCAGTTAGTCCATGTTAGTCTGTTAGTCCATGTAGCAGAGCACCAGGGGGAAGATGGCGGCATTGGGGCACATGCCAAAGGACCCCGAGTGCACCTGTACAGTCTGCCTTCAGAGAACCCTGGGAGCCCCTGATGCTTTGAGGACGCGAGCACCAAGGTGAGTGGCTGACTTTGAAGGAGGACTGCAAATGCGCCAGGGCTGAAGGGCTGGTCTAGAACAGGAAGAGCAGTGAGGAGACTGAAGCAGGACCAGGATATAGAGGCCTGTCGTGGGCCTCTGTGCAGATTTCTCCCAGAAACCGGGCCAGCTCTGGGCCATCTATGGGAGTCCAGACTTTCCTGCCCGCCCTGTTAGGAATCCTAGTTGGTTAAAAACTGTATTGTATCTCTCACTTTGGAGAGCCAAAGTACAAACAAAGAGAATAATGAAGATGGATAGCAGGAGACAAGGTGGTGGATTTGGTGCATCAGGATAAGAGACCAAGGGAACAAGCACAGAGCTGGGGAGGAGGGGAGGGAAATAGGTAGAACAGAGCCCCGCCACGCTCAGGAGCCTGTGACCTCACTGATGACACACTGTGTGCCATAATATGAGCCAGGAGCAATGACAGGAGCAAGAAGGAAAACTGGGACCTGGAACTAGAGGACACGGAGGGAGGGAAAGGGAAAGGGAGGGAACGTAAAAAAAGAAACAGGCTGGACTATGTGGCTATACCAACTTCACAAGGTGATCATAAACCCTGTGCACTGCAAACACACGCTAATAAAAGCAAACAGTGAGAGGACGGTCTTCTTCCCACTTTGCACCCTGGGAAAGTCACTTGGGCCTGGAAGGTCACTTGGGTGGGCAGCAGGCAGTCCAGGCAGCCTCTGAGACCCGGGAGAGGGCAGACTCAAGAAAACACCCATCGGCAACTTTTCCATCCACCACTTCAGATCTGAGGTCTGTGGAGCAGGCCAGCTGGTCCTGGCCTCAGAGACACAGGGGAAGAAAGACTTAGAGACAATGAAAAGGAGAATAAGACCAGGGCAGCCAGGTGCTTGACAAGGGCTCAGCACTGAGTGCACTCACTTCCTCCTGTTCCAAATCTCAAGCTGTGAATCAAGGAGCAGGGTGGGTAGGGGAGGATGAGGAGCCGGGCAGAGAGAGCAGAGGCACAGGAGGCCTTTCAGAGCAACGTGGGTTAAGACCATGTGCCAACTTTTTAGTTGAAAGTTTATACAAGCTAGGGATTTACTTCAGCAGCATGAGCATGCTAGCTTGTGAGTTTGATCCCTGGTACACACAAAAAAAGAAATTCTGCACAGTAAGTAAAATTGCATTGTCTTAGCCAACATGACTGTATTTCTGTAAGCATAGTTATGGTGAAATCAAGTTAAAAAAAAGTGGGAGATTAGACATGGTGACGTAGCACTCAGCTGGCTGAGGCTGGAGGATCACTGCAAGTTCAAGGCCAGCCTGAGCTACTTGGCTTTTTTTGCTTTTTTAAGCCAGGAAGGCAGTCAGATAGCTACTTGTCTTAAGGGGAAAAAAAAAACCATTGCCAGGAGCTGGGCATGGTCATTTCTCACACACAGACACACAACCCCAGCACTCTGGGAGCCAACGCAAGAGGATCACAAGTTCCAGCCCAGCCTGTGAAACTTACAGAACTCTGTCTTGAAATGAAAAATAAAAATGACTGCAGGTGTAGCTCAGGGTGAAGGCCCCCAATGCAAAAAAAAAGTAGAAGCCAGTGTAAAAAAAATATGGCAAACAGACATGGTACTATATATACATGGATAGAAATATCACAGTAAGTCCCATTCATTTGTGCAATTAAATGGGCAATAATAATAATAAAATAGGGGCTGGAGATTTAGCTCAGAGGCATAAGCACCTGCCTTGCAAGCAGGCGGTCGTGAGTTCGATCCCTGGTACCAATTAAAAATAATAATAATAATAATAATAATAATAAAAGAACAAAGTGCCTGCTCAATATGGTGGCATACACCTGTAGTCCCCAGCCCCTGGGAAGGCTCACACAGGAGGAGCCCTTGAGGTATACTTTAAGACCCTGTTTCTAAAGAAAAAGTGTCAGCTAAGACTTCTCAGCAGGCTAACACACCTCCAAGCCCTTTAAATAGCAGGAGACCAGTGAGTGACCTCCACCAGCCCATACCCATCTTCCCCGGGGCTACACAGGTCTCCTCCAACCCCCAGGCTTTACCAGAGCTCACTGGCTTTGCACACCCATGCCACTGTCCACAGTGCGCTCTCTCCCTCATTCCCCCAGCAAACTCTACCCATCTTTAGAGATTCCTCTGGGAGGTGCCCTCTTCCATGGCAACCATGAGGAATGAGAAGCTCGCCCCTGTACCCCAGCCATCTGTAGAACCTCAGTTTCCAGGAGAGAGGTTCACATGAATTTCTCTGCCACAGCGTCAGACAGAGCCTGGCACAGGGACCCTCAGCTGCAACAACCCCAGTGTAGCTGGAGACACTGCCAGGTCCCAGATGCGGGGTAGCTGCTAGGAGCAGAGACCTGGGCCCAGAGCAAGGCTGGCAGGAGCAATTGAGCACACAGGTCTCCCCCAGGGTCCAAAGTCACAACAGGGGCTGTGTCGGGGAAGGATGTCAAGGCCATAAGGAAAGGATTAAGGCAGATCAGGCCAGGTGTGGCAGGTGAGGGGCCAAGCAAGGAGGGAGAAGAAGGGAGGGGCTGCCAGACACCAGCTTCAGAAGTTCTGAGAGCCCCCAGAGGGGACAGCAGGATGGTTCCACCTAGACCAGCCTTGAGCATCACTGTGGGAGGACCCCGGGCATCTTCCCGGAAGAGAAACAAGTTTGGGCAAACAAACTCAGTAACAAAAGACAAAAACAAAACAAAACAAAACAAAACAAAACAAAACAAAAAAAAACCCTCTTTCAGCTGCCTGGGGCTCACAGAGCCCTGAGGTGGGCAGGGGAGGTCAGATACTGTGCTGGGCAGAGATCAGCTCTGCACTGTAAGAGTCTTCAAGGTCCACGGGCAGCCTTTACCTTTGGAGTCTGGGGCGCCCAGCCCGAGCCCCAGGCCGCCCAGGATGGTCTCGGAGTTGCCATCGCTGTAGATGAAGGCCGTGTCTATCTCGGTGTGGCCGCGCTCCAGGAAGACGCGAACCGAGGCGGCGCCGGAGGACGCGTCCATGCGGTTCCCCATCTCCATGGCGCCCAGCACCGTGGCGGGCCGGACCCGAGACTTCAGAGAGGACATGATGGCAGCAGAAGCAGCGGCGGGGACAGGAGACAGGCAGCACCAAAGTGACCCACAGAAGTTTCCTGCAGTGCTGCAAATGGAGCGCCAGCTCCCTTAAGAAGGCCCGGCCCCGCCCACTAGCAGAGCGACAGTGGAGGGGAGCGGTGGGGGGAAGGGCGGGGCGAAAGTGCAGAGGTCAGGCCAGAAGGGGCCAGAGGGCAAGAGGGTGGGTGTGTGCTGTGAGAGGGACTGCGGGGCATGCACGTGGAGCTGGCACCTGGCGCCTGGTTGCCACCGCTTTATCTGGGCCTTGGTTCCAGGTCTATCCGGTGAGCTCTGTCCGAGGCCTGTGAAGGAACCAGAAGGCTGAGGACTGGCAACCCTAGAGGCTCCCTGACCTCCTTCTCAGCCTTGCCCTGAGCTGTCCTAAGGCTTCTGTCAGCATCTCTGGGAAATCAGCACATGGGTGTCCCTCGGGCTGCCTGGCCACCATGCACTCTCAAGAGTTGAGGCTTGCAAAGAAAGCTTTCAGCACAGGCAATACTTGAAAATAGTATTTAGGCAGAAGGAAACTTGGACTTACCCATTTGAAAAATGGAGTCTGCTGGATACAGCCAGTGTGTGGATGTAGTATATAAATTATTTCCTCATTTTTCTTACTCTTAAAACTTTTAGGGTCAGGAGTGTATTACAGTGCTGGCAGAGGGCTTGCCTAGCATAGGTGAGGCCAAGTTCCATGCCAGCACCACCCACCCTTGACAAAAACCAGATAACTTGGCCCTTGAAAGTCAATCACACACCTAGTACCCTGACTCAGCAATCTCAGTCCTAGGTACTTGCTCAAGGGAAGGGGGACCTATGTGCACTAAATCCTGTACCCCTTCTTTTTATTTTGGGTTCTTTTTGAGACAGGGTTTACTAGGTATTCCCGGGTCCTCTTGAGCTCACTATGCAACCAAGACTCGCCTTAAACTCACAGAGACCCTTCTGCTTCAGCTCTGCAGTGCTGGGACACAAGTTTTGATAGTTGTTTCCTTTCCCTCTAAGTGACTGAACATGGAAAAGCCAACTGTCCCTACAGTGCAGAACAAATGAATAAGTGAGCTAGTGATCAGCACGACAACACAGATGAATGGAAGAGGCCACCCAGTGCATGGGGTCATTTCCATGACATTCCTGCAGAGAGCACCAGAGAAACAGGAGACCAGCTGCTCCAGGGGCTGCTGCTAGGCTGAGGGTAGGATCCTGGAGGGGTGTACAGTGGAGGTGTTCTGCATGGTGGTCCTGAGGTGATTACTTGGCTGCTTCTAAATATCCAAACCTCAAGAACTGTGCAGGTCTGTCTACAGGGTGCAGTCATGAATGGGCTCCAAGGGCAGGCACTGGAACAGGAAGTTCAAAGCTCAGGAGTGAGCAAAGGCCAAGGGCTCCACTTAGCTGTGTCATTAATGCACAGACCTGTGATTCCTTCCAGAGGACCTGAAAACTTTACTGCTTGCTGTTTGGACCACTTTTTTTTTTTTTTTTTTAATGTTTTTGAGACAGGGTCTCTCTCTGCAGTTCAGGCTCGCCTTGAGCTCACTTTGTAGCCTAGGCTGGATTCGAACTCGCAGTGATTCTCCTGCCTCAGCCTCCCAAATGCTGGGATTACAGGCATGAGCCACGACGCCCGGCTATGGACCACAGTCAGTGCTTCTTATTTGATGCTCCTTTGACATTTCCATATTTGCCTGAAAGCTTGGCCCAGATCATTTATAGTGCTGCCTTGGCTCATGAATGGAATTCTTTCAGGATTTAGGCAAAAGATGAAACTCCAGTTGGAAAGAATTCAGTTTGCAAATCAAGGTAATAAAATTTCAAGACATGGGATGAATGTGCTGTTCCCAGGTTTTTTAATGCTAGGCTTTGTCCTCAGACTTGAGGCTTTAAGCCAGTAGTTTTCTCTGTATGAGTTATGAAATATTTTTTTAAATTTTATTTAAAAGGAATAAGAGAAAAAAACAAAACAAAACAAAGCAGTGTAAGGGTACAAGTAATACAGAACTACAAAAAAAAAAAAAAAAAAGTAAGAAATCACCAGTTAATAGATTACACATTATCATCTTAGAGATAGCTACTCAAGTCACAGTATCAAAGCATACAAAGTGGACATTCAAACAGAGAGACTGCAAACAGTTGTGTTCAATGATCCAACCAAAAACGTTAATATGGTCAGCTATTTAATATCCCTAAACATACTTGTAGTTGTATCCTTTAGAGCACTTTTTTTCCCTCTCTTTTTTAAACAAAATTTACACACTTTGGGTTTTATTACTCCCTAGTTCTTATTACTTTTTTTTTTGGAAGAGAATAAAGTCAAATATGGCAAAACAAAGCTGTCAGTCAAAACTAAGTACATAGTACATGATGTAAAAACAGAGTACATGGTTATCAACAATCGTTACCATAATGCCTCTTACTTCCTTAAAAAGAATTGTCTGTCTCATTAGGTATTATAAAGTTGAACAAAACAGTTGAGAACAAGACCAATAAAACTTAAACATTGTAAACATTATATAAAAGCAACAAACATTGTAAACATTATATAAAACAAACAAACATTATATTTTTGAAATGTGTCACAGTAGAAGCACATAAATATTACCTGAGGGAACCAGGCTTAGAGGTGTGTGTCGGCCCTTCCAGCTATTCCCTGGGCTGAGGCAGGAGAACTGGGTGGGCTCACATTTTGGAGAGCAGTCTGGCCATATAGTGAGAAATCTTTTGCAACAAATTAATTACTTGAGGAATAGAGCTTGCCTTCTCTCCACTGATTTATTTATTTGTTTCTTTTTCCGGGATGCTGGAATGGATCCCTGAGCTCACACATGCTAGGCAATTCTGAGTTACCTCAGTCCTGTGGCTTGAATTTCGGCCTCATGCAGAGCTATCCAGTTTTGTTTTTCTGTTCCAAGTTGCATAGGATGAGGACTTTTCTGCCAGGGAGGCCATTATCAGAAGGTGCTACTTTGCTCCTTTACAGTAGGCAAATGTGTGAGCGGAGACCTTATAGCCCAGCTCGTCTAAGGCCCACAGAAGAGCTTTGGACAGCCCTTTCGCCAGTGCCCCTTCTCCTTGCATAAGCACATTGATTTTTATCTAGGGCAGACGAGACTTGGCATCGGGCTGGGTGACCTTGTCAGCTTGCATTCCCAGCACCTTTGTCTGCTTCTGGTCTTTAGGATCCTTCCAGTTGTCAAATATCTTTTGAGCCATCTCTAATAACTGACTGAGGGGCATTCCCTCAAATCTATCAAGCTTATGCAATTTTCGCTTAATATCAGGGGCCGACTGGGTTACAAAGGCAATAGTAACGGCCCTTACAATCTTTCCAGAAACCCCAAGGGAGACTCATTAGCCGACTGTCTCACCTCTGATACCTTGGACAAATTGGTGCATTTTCTGGCGGTGCCTTAATGGCTTCCAAGAACAACTGGCGATACTGATCAAGAGCCTCCTTACCTTCATTCCTATAATAGGGTTCCAATTGGGGCAGGACAAAGGGAAAACACGGTTCTGGCATTTGGGATCAGAGGACGGGTTTCCATCTGGATCAAGTACTGTTTTTGGTCCCAGGGTATCAATGTGCTCTCTCCTCCACAGTAAACAGTACCTGTAGGTGTAGCAGCTGCTCACAGTTGTCCAAGTGGGACGATGAGTGAAAAAGATAGGTTCCAGAAAAGAGTCCTTGAGGATCCTTAGAGAAAGGTGGGTTCTGCTGTTTCCAATTGTAGAGGTCAGAGGCAGAGAAGGGACAAAGGTAAACAACAGTGCAGAGGGTTAGGATCAGAGGGAAGCTCCAGTTCTGGAGATGTGCGGAGCAGGGGGCCAATGGGGGGGGGCAAAGGTTTTTTTTTTCAGTCCTTTGCCTTTTTGATATCCCATTTTGTCATTTCTTTAACTTTAGGATTTGAATCTATTTGTTTAGTTTCCAAATTGAAATTTGTTTGTTCAGCTTTAAAATCAGAATCCCTAGTCAGCACTAATTTCCACTTTTGTAACAAATGTTTTCCCCACAAGTTAACTGGAATAGGTGCCACGTAAGGTAAAAAGCAAGCCTTTTGTTGGTCTGGTCCCTCATAAGGCAAAGGTGAGGCACTCTGTAAAACATGCTGAGAGGTCCCCTGTCCGATAAGGGATGTAGGGGCCATTGTTCTAATGCAATTGCAGACATAGCTGCACATGGCAGGCCATTGTTCTAATGCAATTACATACACATCTGCACTGGTGTCTATGAGACCTTCAAAGTATTTCCCACTAATTTTTATAAAACACATAGGCCTGTTTTTAGTCATTCTGTGTAAAATAAATTTTTCTTTTGTAGTTTTGCTCTGAGAGTCTTGCTCCCTCATGCATTGTCTATGCTTAACAAAAGAAAGCTTCTCTATAGGTAACAAAATCAACTGCACCACATAGTCTCCCTGTTCAAAAACCCAGATGCCGGGCTGGGGATTTAGTTCAGCGGCATAAGCACCTGCCTTGCAAGCAGGCAGTCGTGAGTTCGATCCCTGGTACCAATAAAAAAAAAAAAAAAAAAAAAAAAAAAAAGACAAAAAAACCCCACAAAAAACCAGATGTCCATAGTACAAGCAAGAACGTGTATTTTTTCTCTACAATCACCATCAATCACTCTAGGCACATAGATATTCCTTTTAAATTTAGATCAGCCTTTTCCAGCACAAGACTAACTGTTCCTTCAGGTGGGGGATCCCAATTTCCTGTCTCAGAAAGCATTTCCTCATTTATTGCTGGACACAGATTGGGACCCATTCTATTTTTATGAGCCTGCTCTGAGACAGGAGTTTTTAGCTTTACATCAACATGCAGGAATTGAGCGGGAGACAGGCACATTTGTGCCAAATGTTTGATATCATAAGATGTCAAGTGAAACGTATCCAAAAGATTTTGTAAGAGTCCCACAGTAAATGGACTTTGGACTCCATTGTTAACCACACTTTAAGATTTTATTTTAGCAAAAAAAAAAAAAAAAAAAAAAAAAAAAGATTTTTTTTTAGCAGTTGTATTTTAAAAGGCATATGGATAAGATACTCCTGATCATTATCATCTGTTACAATTCCAACTGGGAAGCAAG